AGATCCTACCAGGAGTCATATTTAAAAGTCATATTTTGTACAACTCTAGTCAAAACAAAGGCCTGGGTAGCTATTGGAACGGGAATGGGTTTCCTGAGGAAATGCCACTTGCGTGGAGTGCTTGTCGTTTTGCAGGCTACCATAAAAATCTGTTCAGACACTGCAGTGCCATTTTGCCTGGAATGTTAAAACCTCAAAACAGAAATACCACAGGAGGATCTTAATTTGTCAGATGCCAAAGTGTTCATACTGCATTTGTCCATTGACAGCACAGCTGCATTACACTGAGATTTATCAGTTCAGTGCCAGGAACCAGAACATTTATAAAGGATTCTGTTTCATAGATGTATACCCCGCTGTTTCCTGCAAATTAGGAAATGCTGTGCCTTCAAAGAGGTGTGCATCCTAAACAGGGTCTGGATGTACAAAGCAGATCTTGCCTAGGTGTCTTATGCAGAGAGCAGTCACTGACTACCCGAAATTTCTGCCCAAACAGTGGAAATCCTTCGTGCTCTGGGATGTTTAAGATTCTCTCTCCTACCTTACAGAGGTCTAAAATGAGAATGACATGGGGATGATATACCCCTTATTCCAAAAGGCCATTAAATCTCAAATTTAGTTTGAGTGATTAAGTATCAAAAATGAACAGAAAATCATTCCAGCTGTTGTACAATTGATGGACAACTAAGGAGTTCTGTGGGATTTTTTGAATTTTTTCCCTGTAAGAGCTCTTTACTTTTACTTTGCAGGCCTGGTGGGTAGGAGATAACTTTTCTACAGATGTCTGGAGAATGTGTACCACGAATACTAGCACCTGTCTGGCTATTACTGATCAGTTCAGAGGTGAGTGTCTCTCCGTGCCTATGTCTCTGTTCCTTTAGCAGGTCTGCTGAAATTGCTATGAAATCTGCAGGGGCCATAATGTAATTGTTCAAAAATCTGCATGCCCTAACTGCACAGGTCTTCCAAAAAGTTTAATAGTGGTTTTTGATTTTGGAAAAGCAGCTGTCCCAGCAATTTCTGTGAGAGGAAAGCAGAAGAACTGTCACAGGCACTTAAAAGCCCAGTGCAAGAGAGTAAACACAAACAACTAACAAGAAGTGCTAAAGAGTTGTTAAAAAATTAGATCAGGTAAAAACAGTAAAGTCATCTGAATCTGATAGAATTTGCCTCAGAATTGAACTTGCAAAGAAGAACTTAAAAATACTGGCTGTGCACAAGAATGGGGGGAAAAGTGGAAGACAGAACACAAGCTGGAGTTTTAACAAGGAGGCCTTAATATACAACCCAGCATAATATCCTGCTTTACAAAAAATAAATGTGTTCTCAAATGTTACATTTGCTTTATTTCTGCACAATCAACTTGGGTGTATATTGAAGAGGTAGATCATTTGAAGAGCTGTGTACCCATGAAATAATTTTGCTTTCGAGGCATCAGGTTGGTTCAGGGCCTCTAACCTGCAGTGAGATGATCCATCACACACAGATTTAAGGGTTTGCATCTGATGTATTGCTGTGCATCCACTGCAGGCAGGTCCCCAGACTGGTGGATGATGGGTAGCTCAGGAATGTTTGCTGCTCCCAGAGCTCTGACTGCAGTGGCTGTGCTGGAGGAGAGGGGTCGCAGGAGCTCAGCCTGGCTGCAAAGTTACACAAAGTAGCTACACGTAGTTAAAAATGTATTGGTTACTTTAGCTCCTGGTTACAGGGAAGTCATTGACAGGATAAAAATCCAGATCGGAGGAATCTTTTGTGCCGAGTGTGGATATCCTGTCTGGTTACATCTCCTTGGATAGGGCTGTCTCCAGGTCTGGTTGGAGGCTGGGGTCTGCCTTTGTGAGCCATTTGGGACAGCTGGCAGTTGCACTGTGCTTTTAGTACACTGATGGTAGCAAAGGATGTGGTGTGGGAGGAACAGCCTCTTCAGTATTTTTATTCAGTTTTATGAGAAGCTTTTAAGAATCCTCAAACCACTGACTGCATCAATACCAAGGAAGCAGGGAAGAACCACCCTAAGGCAATGCACGGCGGGTTTGCTGTGTCTGCTGGACTCCTGCTTCCAGGACATAGCTCTGCCCCTCATTGCAGGAGGAGCCAAAGGGAGAAACTATTTTTAATCAAGGCTACTTTTGTTTCTGCAGAGTATCAATCGATTCAGGCCGTTCAGGCTGCCATGATCCTATCTACTATCTTCTGTTGTGTGGCATTTCTGGTTTTCATTCTTCAGCTCTTCCGTCTCAAGCAAGGAGAAAGATTTGTGTTAACCTCAATCATCCAGCTCCTGTCATGTGAGTGATTTTTCAACACTTGTAACTTTAATGATGTTTTTGTGAAAGTAAGGAAAGGGAAGGGGAAAAAGGTTTCAAAAAGAATGAGCTGCTTGAGGAATTTGTAGGGCTCTTGAGGCCACAGCTTATCCTTCATATTTGTTTAAACAGTGAACTGCTCCATTCTTTAATATTGAGGGAGTTAAAACATGGATGTCATCACTGCTCAGAATAAAGTAATTTAAACTTGGAAGGGAAAGAATTTGAGATTCTGAACTTCTTGAACAAGTTAAATAACTCCGTAATTGTCACAGGCAGGTACTCTGTTTTTCGTCAGTCTTTAGAACTATCCAGATGTTCAGAATTGTTTTCTGTTCACTGCAAATAACACAGATACACAACAGCACTTCAAATTTAATCCATGCCAAAGAAACTGAGAATATGACCTGAAATGCTTCCAGCTTAGTCTGAGGATGGAAATAAGTGTCTGCACAGAAAGGACATTGGTGGAAGCAGCTGACAGAAGAGAGACAGTGAATAGTTATATATATATTGATAATATTTCAAGATGCTAAACTTTATTATTTTCTTCCTCCTCCAGGTCTGTGTGTTATGATTGCAGCTTCCATTTACACAGACAGGCATGAAGAACTGCACCAGAGCTATGAATATAGGATGGAAGTTTCTAAAGGCCAATATGGCTATTCATTTGTCTTAGCCTGGATTGCATTTGCCTTTACCCTGATCAGTGGTGTGATGTACTTAGTATTAAGGAAGCGTAAATAAATGTCAGCAGCTAGTTATTTCTGTCACTGCAGTACAAAACCAAATTCCAGTAACCATTTTGTATATAATCCTTTACATGGTTTTGTAGTAAAGGTATTGTTTCTCTAAAAATGTACTGTGTTCTTGATATGAAACAAATCACAAAAAAAAGAAGGCAGGTGAAATGGGACGCCGGGCACCTACAGGTCAGGGGTCGGAGCAGGACAGAGCCAAGTTGTTTCTTTTACATATTTCATCATCATATAAATGGTTTTCCCTTTACCAGACATTAACAGTTTCTTCCTGGCCTCTCGAAGATTACAAATAAAGCCCGTGCAAATTAGTTTATAAGCAACATGCTAACTGTATTCCTGGACCAGATGTATCCCTTTGGAATGTGTTAAATATAAGGGGGTGTAAAAAAATGAGGCCCAGATCACAATGAAAAAGGAAAGAATTATGAAGCCCAAAGCTGCACTGAGAGTGTCTGTCCTGGCACTGGACCAGTGTTCTGCTCTTTGTAATGTGCAGTAAGTGTCATCAAGTTTTTATTAAAACCACTTGCTTTGCAAAAGTAAACAACTCCTTTTTGTACTCCAGCAAATGTTTCTCTTCTTCTCTTTCACATTTAATTTAAGCACAGACCCTTTGGCGGGAGAACTCACTGGCAAATTCACTGTTCAGCTGGGACCAGCACAGTCTGAGCAGTTAAGGAATACCCCACTCCAGTCCTAAATCTCTTTATTTTTGCCTTGTGTGTAGCCTTTCTGCAGGGTAGAACAGGAAAACAAGCATCACAGTGCCTTCATCTGCAGCTTTCCAAGCAAATTAGTGATCAAGCAATGCCAAATTTAGGTTTTTACAGCCAAACTCAGCATGGTTATTACACTGGGCTCTTATCATGTAGTGATTTCATGGTTAATATGGCCTTTACAAAAGCATTCCCTGAGTCTGCTCATTAGGAAATTTGCCTTTAAAAAATTCATTTTAAATTCTTTTGTGGATTTTATTGGAACTAAACACTACTACTAAACAAATCAGACTGCAATTACTATGCTTTTGAATTCCAGACTAGGTTTTCAAGATAAAATGACTTGGTGGTTTTTATTTTTCAGTAATTTTGTGAGCTAAATCTGTGCTGTAATACCAGGCTTAGCTGCTCAGCAGTGTAATACTGACTTTGGGTGATGGTGATTTTGGAGTTGGGAGATCAGTGTGGAGAATGAAGTGGCCTTTTCTGGTTAGTCACAGCTTTGATGCTTAAGTACAGATTTGACTTTTTAAAAGCTCTAACCATTTATTTATTTCAGTGTATTCACTACAGCTGGCCCAATACCCAGGCAATAAAATAGTAGAATAGGTTTTGAATGAGGTATTTAGAAGAAATTCAGTCTCACAAAGTAGTGCAGCTCTACTGGAGTTAATGCTGACTACATTATACCTCAGTTAATGGATAATTATTATGTTGTAGTAAGCTAGTTATTGACCTGATTCCTTCAGATTTATCCTTGATTTATCCCAGAGTAAAAAGCTCAGGTGCATAACTGTATAGGAATGGTCTCCAACATGAGTAATAGGTCACATAGTTCCATCTTCATTCCTTCAACACCTCAACATGATTTGGCATGTGCTACTTGTCTTTTTTGGGAACAAAGAAATTCCAGCAAGACTGTTAAAAATTTAGGATGAGCAAGGACAACACACTAAAATAATAATAAAAAACCCAAATCAGTTTGAAGAAAATGCATTCTTCCCAGTGTATCATAATGCTACAGTATTATGTCATGGTTTTTCCTCTTAGTGGGAGTGCTCTGAATTTCAAGAATTATTACCCTACTTTTTAAAAAAGTGTTTTTACAGTTTGCTGAATACATTTCAAGTTCAAAACCTGAATTTTTGCTTGCAAGCAGAATTTGTCTTCACTAAATAGATGCAGGTTTAAGGATGAAAGAAGATAGACTCATTAGCTAGGCATTTTGCTAGATTTATTAAAACATGAAAAAGGGAAATTCTTAAGCAAATATGGATTACAACTGACTTGTACCTAGAGGACAGTCCTGTAAAATTCTGAGTTAGCTGTTATACCACTGACTTGCAGAGATGTTTCAATTTCTTGCCTTGATCATGCTCAGGTCATTTACAGAGCAAGTATTTAAAATACAGATGTAGATATACATGAACACACAGATTAATTCCAGATTAAAGCTCTGTCCCTTTAATTAAAAGTAAAAAGCACACACACAACAACCACTTGATGCACAGCACCAATACTTGAGTACAAACAGCAGCATACACAAGATGCCACATAGAACAGACATTCAGGAATGTTCTGCACAGCAAACCCACAAGTAGCAAACCAGTGAACTAGAATTTTTAGCAGGACAAACATATTTTAGGATATTCTTTCTACCTGATATGCCTTTAAAATATACCATTTTCTATACTCTATATATTCTGGAATGTACATGAAAATAAAACATTCTTGTACTGTAATAGCAAACGTTTAGCAATCTGACCTTGTCTTTAAGCTTGGGATATATTTATACTATGCTGGATGAGAAATAGTTGAGTATTTGTGTGAACAGGTAAAATTAAATTCTTCCTGCCTCTACTAGAACCACAAGCTATTTTTGTCCTTTGTTGAAGACCTTTAGGGTAAGCAGAGAAAATAGCAGTGTATGGAATCTTTAAATGTCTGGTGTCAATAGCTACTTAGTAATGCAGGATCCACAGATGCCCTGAAAAGTAGTTTACTTGTAAGGGTTTTGTTATTTTTCATCATTTCTAGAAACAGCCATGTGTTTAAGATAAGGCTGAGTGCCTTGGCCATGTGAGTAAACAGTTACTTCTGCATCTGCTCCGGTCCAAAATTCAGGTTTGCATTGAGGAACCAGCAGCACACACAGGTTTGTACAGATCCATTCAAAACATTCCTCCCAGCTCCCCAGAAATAATTTCCCAAATCCTATAAAACTTTTCCCTTCTAATCATGGTGAACAAAAGAAAAAAGTCCAAATTTTTAAAATATTCTGTAGCATCTGTGACTCTACCTTGACATTTTTTACCCAACAAGCAAGCACTTGAAGTACAGGGAACAATCTTGGAAAAACAATCTAAAGTACTTATGTCAAGGTACTTTAAAAAAAAAATGTTTTTCTTTATATATTCCATCCAGGACAAGAGAAAATGAAGTTGTACATTAGTTTGCTATGAGATACCTTTAAAAAAACAAAAGCACTGTAGGTGACAGGATCTGTGCTGCTTAGACATTAACTGGTTTTTTACCCCAGCTACATCAGTAATTTATGTGGTTCTTAATGTGTTCAAAATAATGGAAGGACTGTAGAGCTGTTCTTACCTTGAGCATCATGGAAACTTGTGCCACTTAGCTAAACAGACAAAAGTAAAAATCTTTCCTATAATTTCTAAAACCAGGAATAAGATGAGCCACTACCTTTCCAAAAACTGAAGAGAGCTAAGATTCCTAAAATCATAGTTCATCAATGCTGCTGAAATAAAATAATGAAGCTGAAAATTTTATTTTTCATTTCTACCCTATGTGCAATAATCCCCTCTGAAGCAGTAAGACGAAAGAAAATGAAATGTGGAAGTAAATTAGTTTTAAAAACAAGACATCATTTCCAAGGCCATAGAATCAAACTTACAGAGTAAATGGAATAACATTCATAACAGACACTAACAATTAAGAAACATGAGGAAATGAATCCTCTACAGTCTAAATGTCACAATACAAATAACACTTTAACTTGAAATTCACTGCAAGTAACGATATAGTACAGAACAGCAGAACAGTAGCAGACCACTTAGTAAGGTACTCTGGGTCTCTTCAAGAGTTTTTTAAGTAGTTATAGACTGTGTATCACAAAATGGTCTGTCACATCCACATAGATCTTTTCATTGAATGAAGAAGTGAGACTTTCTGGGATGATAACCTGTGGGAACAGTAAGGCCCCAAAAGTGGCAAAGCCCTTATTTGGTCTGTTTTCTTCCGATGTGATGCAGAATTATTACTGAGGTTTTCATGGAACAGATCCAGGGAAGCACACGTTGGATCAGTTCCTCTGAGGGCCCATGGCAGTGCGATTCCCTTTGGATTTTACACAAAAGCCTCTTTTAGTTTAAGGATTCAAATTTTTCAGCAAGCTCTGGAGAAAAGGCAAGATGTGAATCCATGGAGGAAGACGTGGAAATTGCTTCAAAGTCTAGGCACCAAGACAAAACCAGCTGTTAGTGCAACAATAATAACAAATACTAACTTAGGTTCATGTAAATACATAAACTGAATTGCTGCTGTGTATTTCCACACTAACAGCAGTGGCCCAGATTACCCAGTGTTCATGTATTAATATTCAGCATGTTGCTGATGTTTCCATCTGTCCAGTAAGATTTTCCCCGAAGTAGAAAACACTCCTTGCACACCAGTAATAACAACTTAGCACCACAACTTGTGTGCTATCAAAAGGAGTGCTGAGGAGGTTGCTGTTACATCTAGAGGGATATTTGTTCACTTTGGATCATTACTGCACTGCCCCAGTTTCTAAAGGGAGATGTGTGCGTGTACTCTTTTTTCTCCCTCCCAATAAATTTAGCCAAAAAATCACAAACTTGTGAATGTACTTAGTTGCTTAGTTTTAAAACAGGTGTACATTCCACAGAGGAGTTAAACTGCAGATGCCTTCATGGGATTATTCACTGCTATAATAAATGTCAACAGGTATGAAACAATCCTGATGATACCCAGACTGTATCGTGTGGTGCAGATTTTGGTCTGTTTTACTGCTGCTGCTTGAAGAAAGCTTTTGTTCCATTTCTCTTCAAAAAAAACCCCAAAGTGAAACTGTATTTCTAAAAAGCAGACAGTTGTGTTGCTGTCATAAATGCTGAAGTTCAGAAAACTTCATTTAAACCAAGTAGGCCCATATTGTTACAAAGGAAAATGGTAGGAATATAACGTGTGCACTGCTTCACAGACTGTCTTCTTAGCCTATTATCAGCAAGAAGTAAAAAAAAGTGCCACATTCTCCTCAGAGATTTTTTTTAATATTACTTTAGATATTTTTATTTGCTTTTTAGCACGTAAATCTTTAACACTTAAAGTATCAGTACTGACGAATTAAAACTCTTTTGGAAATGAAGAGCCTAAAAGCTCTTAGGGTAAAAGTTTAAATCCTGTTGTCAAATAATGTTTTTACACATTTTTCTGCATGACAGATTTGGTAGTGGAAGGAAAGGAAGGAAAAGGCAAAGTAGAGGGAAAAGAAGATAAGGGGGAAGGACAGCTGGAACAGGTTTTGGGGTTTTAGTGTGTTTATTTCTGACGATGGTATCTCGTGGCATCCCTTACTAGCTTCTGTCGAAAAATGTTTTACTGTTCCAATCTTGTTACAATGGAGCCTCCTCGTGGCCAAAGAGAAGCCTTCTCCTTCAAAGCCCAACTGTTCAAACGCTGTTCCTTTCCCACTCGAAAAAGTCTTTAAAAAGCTTAACTTTCCCTCAAGCTCTAACCGTCCTGCAGGATGCAGATCCACAATTTAAACTCAGCTTTGGCCAGTGGAAGGTCCATTTTGGGGTGGGCTAGAAATGGCTCTGCCAGGTGATCCCACAGCATCCCCCATGACCAAAACCTTGACAGGTAACCCCAATACAGCAATGGAAAAGGTGTTGTGCTGCCACAGAATTATCTTCTCCTTATGGTTACCTACATTTCTACACAGTTACACTTCAGCCATTAAATTTAGGGAGATGCTGAAAAGTAAACTTCAAAATTTTGCTTTTACCTTCACTATCATTGTGGTTTTCTTCTTCTATAGGGCTCTGTTGGGGTTCTCTTTCCTTCCTTTCATTCTGATAAAACAATACAGAATTTCAGTGGAAGGCTTCTATCAAGTGTCTCCAAAACTACTTAGCAATTGGCAGAACGGAACACTATCTGTTAAATTCCTTACAGCAACAGAAAATTATTTTTAAAATACAAGTTATATATCCAAAAGTTCAGGCAAGTAAAAGCAACACTTGATGGCTCACAACAAACTGTTTAGAACATCATCTAATTGCTTGAGGTATTTTCTTAAAAGCTTTCACACTTTAAGCTTGTTTTAAGAACCTGAAATTAAAATTTAAATTTTGAGGCTTGTAAGCATCTTACTGGACCTTATCCTGTTTTATGCTTTGGTTACAGTTTTTGGGAAAAGTCCAGGAACATATGAAACTAATTTTGTAAAACATGTGAAAGCCTTTAACAAGAAGACAAGACTGCATGTCTGTCACATGCAATTTTTTTTGTATGTTTAGATGTGAAGGAACAAAACTACTGAAATTCCAAAGACTTCTTTCAAATAACCATATTTCTGTAAAAGAGGGATTTTTTTTTTCTTGCAATATATGGTCAGTGTGAAACAAGAGGCTGACAATTCACAGAATTACTTCTCCCACTAGATTAGCTAAAAGATTTTCAGTGCAACAAAATACAATCATGCTAAACACATGAGAAATTCCTGTTCCTCATAACAATCTGATGTCCCCACAAAAAAAAAGACGTTTTGTAATCTTACCATTTTACTACTAATGTATCAGTGCCTCTCATAACAAATAATTAAGAGCTATGTTAGTGATATTTTTATTTGCTCTTCCATATTTTTAATTTCACTGCCTAAGGAAGTGGTTTTCAACTTGCAGTTCATGGCTCTGATGCAATTGGTTGACTAAACAGCTGATGGAAGGTGTCAACACACGTAGTGTCCATGCCCTCCTTTGAGACTGTTTCGTCAGAAAAAAACTCTGTTGTAGTCTAGATTTTTCTGTTCTTTAGGCAAGCAGTAACAACTGTCAAATACAGCTGTCAAAGCCACGAGATTTCAGTACAAGTGGCATCAATGCCCATGTTAGCAAGTGCACCTGCATCACACCTGAGCAACAGCTGGTTCTGAGAACACTTCCCCCTGAGCTGCTACCACAGCATCAATACATCTCTCCAGTTTTGCTACTTTCTTCTGCTACAGAAAACAAACACAGCAGTTAAGAAACACAGTTAACCTGAAATAAGGAATTTACATATTAATGTCATATGAAGAGTAGACAGTGAAAGGACTGCAACAAAGGCTAAAAATAGAACTATCAACTTGTCTTTATGTCGCACAAAATGAAAAATTTGCATACTTTTGGGGTCTTTAAGGTATCATAATAGTCATATGTGATTCACATGCAAAGTGTTCCCACAATTGTGCAAAGACCCTTACCAGGAATATTTTACTTATTTCTTCATAGGTATTTGTGCATTCCAGTTGTTCGACTCTTCTCTTTAAACTTGCTAATTTTTCATTAAACAAGTCAGCATTTAAATCCATCTGCTCACCAATCTTAAGTCTGATCTAGAATAAAGAAATGCTGTGTTTCAAATCTAAAACCACTGAGATGACTATACAAAGTAAGTGGCAAATTTCAAATTTAAACGAGTTTTGACAGACTTCTGGCATCTAATCAATGAATTCAGTAGCCTCTGCATTCTCACGTGTGTGCACGAACGTTTCTTTCCAATCCTGCTCATTTTTCATCCAAGTCTGGCTCCTCAACCTTCCTACCAGCACCAAATATTACCGAAGCTCTGTGTCTACACCTCCTCAGTACCTTCCTCCCACCTTTCTACCCAGAAGTACCTCTGCATCATCAGGGACTGACTACTGGAGTCACAGGGGTAACAGACATTGGGAATCACCAGCCTGAAAGTTCATTTTCATGGAAAAAAGTGCTGGAATTAAGATGCTTCAGTGACATACAACAGTCATAACAATGCTCTAAGCAGTGTAATATGGTTGAACTGTTGGAGTTCAAGTCACATCACCAGAAAATAATGAAATCATGGTTTCTACTGAACACAGTGGGCGTATCACAGCAATTTCAAGACATCTGACCAGTGTTTAATTTTTAGTTCTTTGCCTTCAGAAATTTTTTCAGGATCAGCTGAATGTGACAGTTTTTCCCTTGACTGAAACTGCATAAAGAGTTCAGAGTTCTCTCATCCACCTTAGACACTATGCTCCTTATTCTAGGTCTCCAGCAGCAGCACGTCACAAAGAACTATTTCTTTACAGTGGAAAGAAATTAAAGAAGAATTTTCATATATTCTTCATAAATTATCCCTCCGAGTAATCCCTCCTGTTTCTATCTTCTGGAAAGTGCCTAAGTCCATCCTATCTAAAGCAAATTATCAAATGCATGAGGCACACTTGCAGTCTAACACACTTTCAAAAAGTTAATAGTCAGATCCACTCACAAAACAAGTATTACTTCACCTAAAATATGCCAAGAATGAAATGCATTCATATGTAAATTTTGTTTTACATGCACCAATCGGAACAGTTTAAAATTTGGGTGACTAGAGAATGCACTCAAAATAACTTCAGTATTTTCTCCCCTCCAGACACCTTTTCGTATTCTCCCCAGAAACAATTACCAACATTTGCTAATCAAAACCATCAGTTCTCCCCACAAATAGAGCTCCAGTTATAAACAGGGTGGTCACATCTGTTTTAAAGCACATACAAAGCAATTCAAACACTCAAATCACTGCACACTACCTTTTCTAAAAGAGTTTCTTCATTTTTGTACATTGTACAAATACTCTCTTTCTTGCTTTCATCTGAAATCTTAGTACTTTTACTCGGGGTATTTTCTTTGCTTACTGACATTACCCACTTTGTTTGAGTGTCCCCTGAGGGAAAAAAAAGAAAAAAGAAAAAGCCAGCATCAGCCTTTCAAACTTATTTCTACATTACAACAGAAATAATTACGACTGAGGGCAGTGGAGGGAGGAGTTGTACAATTCAAATCACTGATGTTCCGCCTTAAATTGCTGCAGTGGTTTGATTTTGAAATAGAACTGGGACATAGGATTTTGTGGTAGGAGAAACAAACCCCAAAACCTCAGACAAAAGTCTGCAGAGAAGGAAGAGGAGGCCAGAAACAAGATCAGGTTGCTGCTATTTATTTTTTTCACTACTAAACTGTATTAGATGCTTACTGAAAAGTATTTTCTCCCCTCATTTTTTCCTTTTTTCCAGTGACAGAAACATGCTACCTTGAGACGAACAAGACAACAAGGCTTCTTTCTGCTGAAATAACACTGAGATGTGCCTGAGGGTTTTTCCTACCCTATTCTGGTCCAGTGCCTCTCATTTCAGTTTTACATAACAGCTTTCTGACCACCCCTGGAGGTGTTTAAAAGGCGCCCGTGTCTGTCTCCGGCTGATGTGGTTTAGGGGTAACAGCGGGTTGGCGGCCGGGCGGGAGGATCTCGAAGGTCTCTCCCAACCTTGCCGGTTCTGTGACTCCACGGAACGAGGCGGCGAGCCCGGGGCGATGGTTCTCCTGGCCCCCTTTGCCCGGGGGCACACGGGAGGCTGGGCTGGGCAGGGTGACCGGCGGGACGGCCCGAGCCCGGGGGCGGCTGCGAGCGGAGCCGGGCCGGGCACCGACCGGCGGGCTCGGCCCTGAGGGCCCGGGGTGGCACGGGGGAGCCGGGCCGGGCACCGACCGGCGGGCTCGGCCCTGAGGGCCCGGGGTGGCACGGGGGAGCCGGGCCGGGCACCGACCGGCGGGCTCGGCCCTGAGGGCCCGGGGTGGCACGGGGGAGCCGGGCCGGGCACGGCACAGGCTCGTTCTCCCACCTCCATTAGTTCTTACCTGTAAGAACTGCTCTCAGCACTGCCGGAGAGCAACGCCCATAAACTAAACCATAAGAAGTTTCACCCCAGCGTGAAGAACTTTCTTCTGAGGGTGGCAGAGCGTCGTGGGGGCCCCTCTGCTGTAACAGGCACGGGCAGAAGTGACGTTATTAAAACGTTACATACGGTGGGGTGCTGAGGGTCTGGGGACAAGTCCGGTTCAGTTTAGCGGCTCTGTGGCCTCTTAAGAACAAGTCAAAGTGGCCCAACCCAGTCAGTTAAGACACTTAGTGCGCAGATCACACATCCAGGGTGAAAAACAACCCCGTTGGCATAGAGTGTTCTGTAAACACCCATGCAATTAGTGTGTATATTTCTGGCTAATAAGTACTGGTACCCTCTTGAGCCACTCATGCACCTTAGGTGGACTTATCCCTTGTGCATCCAGCGCTGTAATAAAAATAATGTGTGCTTCTTAATACTACATTGGTTCTAGGGGGTTTTATTCCCCATTTTCAGCGGCACTGTGGAGGCTTGTCCTGTGCCACATTGCCTTGTGAGGGTGTCGGGGCCGTGGACTGGAGTTGGATCCAATCTCAGCCAAATTCCATGTTTTTTGCCCCAGCTATGTGATCTCGGAGAAAGGACACAGAATTTGGAAGGAAGTTTTACGAGGTACTTATGCACTAGTGGTGAAATTGGGGACATACAGCTTCCTTACAACAAATCCCAGTGATGGGAACGATTCCTTTTTTTCAGTAATGGTTCTACTAGAAATGAGTGTTACTAAAAGGCTGAGGTGGATTTAAAAACAAGAAGCCCAACTGGTTATAGGAAAGAAGAAAAGATCTACAACAACATTTTAACTCTGATGATAGTTAATATTTTTATGGTTGACAGTAGATTTTCTTTTTGATTCTGTTTTTCTTGCTGCCTATGACAAATCAGAATACATTTTTTTTAGATACTTTCCCTGTTTCCTTTCTAAAGTAATGTTTACTTCTCCTTGGAAATAAATATATGCAATTGTTACATGTTGATTTCAAGTTGGGCATTTCTTTATTCTAGCACAGCAAATCATATTCCATGAAGAAACTCCTATAACAAATACAGGTCCAGAGTTTGTCCTATCCCTAGAGCTCGCTGCAGGGAAGAGAAAAGTCCTGGAAGTCACAGGCTGTAGCTCCTTGCTGTCTGCTTGAGAGAGCTCAAACTTTGGGATCGCAGGCCCAGAGGGCCTCTCTCAGGAGCAGATGAATAGCAGTGACAGTGGCAAAGCTCCGGCTGTCCAAAGCTGGTTCCAGGCACGGAAAATTCCTCTGTGTGAGATTCCAAGGTGAGACAGCCCATCTCTGTAATGTCCTGCTACCTTCACGACATGAAGATGTATTCAACAAGCAGAAAAGACTATGAAATATGCTTAAAAATTTGAAAAGAGAAATATTTTTTTTCACAAACGCTGAATCTTAAAATCTGATTGTTGCCTTGACAGAGTTTACAAATATAAACCCATTTGTTTTCTCGTTGTTTGTTTATTTCCATGGATGACAGAACACACAGAACTGTTTCTTTCAGCAGCAGCACCAGTGTATGCTAGTCAGGTGTTCCTCAAAGTATAACCTCAGACTCTTCCATTTTGCAGTACAGTAGGTATTGAACTAAATTAGGGGGAAATAATGGTTTCTAACAGCTGAAGGATATCTACTGTTTAAGCTAAGAATTTTGTTGCTCTGTTAAATCCGGTGAACCTTGTGTGATTTATTGCTTATATTGAAACATTTGATATTGCAGGAAGAAAACAGGCTCCTGAGGTGCTTCATTTTACTGAAGATTTTTTACTTGCATAAAAGAGTATCTAAAACTGTGAACACTGATATGTTTTATTAGTGCATCAAAGCTTGTGAAGCACTAATGATTAGTCCAATGATTGATTTGCAAACAAGAATATTTTGAGTGCATTTGTTATTGTGGCAATTTTTCAGATGCTCTTCTGTGTGCAGTTTGTATCTTCAGAATAAGTGAGGGTGTTTCAAATCTACATTAGGAAAGGGAACTTGTTTTCATCTATGTCCAGGAAAAGATTCTGCCCTGGTTTTTTGGGGGCTTCAGAGGTTGTCCCTTTGCCTAACTGTGTGAGGAGCTGAGAGAAAGAGCACTAGCACTAACCTTTCTGAATTGCTGCATAAAGACGAGAAGCACAACCAATAATAGGGAAGGAGACCTGGAACATCATTTTAATCTAATGATAGTTGATATTTTTGTGGCTGACAGTAGATTTTCTTTTGATCATGATCAGGGAGGAAGAGTGACAGGGATTGGGAACATCATGTCACTTAGTGCTGCCTTTTGTATATCAGGGATTAAGAGTTTGGGTTTTTTGGTTTTAAAATCGTAAGAATGTTTAATTTTCTAAAATGCTGCCATTCTCTTTCAATAGTAACATTATTTTACCCATTTTTTCATATATATGTAAAGCTACTAATGAAAATTAAAATGGTATTTTTGAGACTGTGTAAATCTAAGGACATATTTATTTTCCATTCATAGCTATGCATACTATTTTATTAGCTCACAGGGAGCTTTTGAAGCTTTTTTGGAAGGAGAATTATTTGAGATTCTCAAATGCAGTCTCTGTGAGTAGCACTGATGAATACAGCTGGGGAGAAAGTCCATATGAACTCTTAGAAATGTAATAATTTGCATTCAGATTTTTTTTGTTGTTGTTTTATCCTTTAGGTGAAAAGTAACAGCACGGAGGAATGATGGATGATCTTTTTAAGGTTATAATCTTTTGTCTTGCAGGGTTTAGTCACAAACTCACAGTCAGAAATACAGAGGGGGTTGAGGTTTATGTTTATTTTTATTTTTCTCTGGAAGGTCTATAACATGCATGATTTCCATTAATCAAAATGATTTATTATGTTTCCAGTTTCTCTAGTTGCTCCTGCATTGCTCAGACTGCAATCTTATATGGCAATTCTCATTTCCCTGGAAGTGTATGTAGAGCATAAAATGTCATGTATTTTCCCTCAGTGACTATTAAACAACCCCCCCACATACAAAGCCATGTGACTTCAGCTTGGCTGTTCCTCTGTAAAAAATGGCTACAAAATAAAAATACTGTTTGTGTTTTACTAGGTATAGTAGAGGTCTAGAAGTTCCTTAGACAAATAGGTTGTCAATAGGCTGGATGAGCAAACAATTAGTGAAATTCATGTATCTGGGATGTTCAGATATGTCCAGATAATAAATTATTTTCAGGCTGTCTGGATTTTAGCTTAAAATATATTTAGTACCCATCTCACAGTTTGTTTCTTCTCCTGTAATCCCATTCTTCTTCATCAAGTTGTTCGAATTTACACTCTAGTTTTTACTTTCAAGCTAAATGTAAAATAAGTAAAATCACTAATTAGGCTGGTTTTTTCACTCAGTGGCTGTTTCTTACAGGGATTATATGGCAAAAAGTTAACATCAGCATTGACACATTTGATCTTGAGCTTCATCAGGCTCATACACCAAAGTGTGGCTCTGTGGACCAAGGCCATGTAGATCTGCTTGAATTTTTTTCAGCGTATAACTTTTGTTTGAAGCAAATCTGTTTATAGAAAAGTTTCTCAGAAACTTTATTGCTGTGTAATAAACGTTGCTGGAGCTTACAAATAGAAGGAAGTCATATGAGTGAAGCCTAAACCAATTCAGCCTCATAATTTTTAATGAGGTTTGTCACTTTTCTCCAGGAAGGAAAGCTGAGAGGTTGGCATTTTTAGCAAACAGGGAAAGAACACTGCAAGAGACCAGATAGAGGTGTTTTAACCCTACCTAAGAAGAAAATGCTTCAGAAAGTGTTTTTAAGCAGCAGAAGGGTAACTCTGCTTGCTGAGCTGATGAGCCAGTATTTGGACTTGTTCAGTTTAGGTGTATGATAGACTGACAAGGGAATCAAAGTCTCTGAGGAACAGGCTGGGCTTTGAACACTTGCCAGTTTTCAGTATTACTCCTACCCTTGCAAAATAAACTTTGTCTTGCTAAAATTTGTTTTGCAAGACACAGTCTATGCTGTTTTTTCTTTCCTTCTGGATTGAACTACAATACCTTTTTACTCACTATTTTGGTTTACAAATTTAAACAGAACAGGGAAGAATATCAAGTTGCTGCTTTCAGAAATCGTTCACGTTTAAGCTTACAAGCTTATTCACTGGCAACCTTTTGTGCTGTGTTACATTTGTGTTGTGCCCAATGCGTGATAAACTCATGTAATTCAATGCATTACATCAAATACAGTATTTAAGTGGCTGTTTCAAAGATTTAAAAAAGAAAAATTACAAGCACAAATCAGTAGAAGTTGGGTTGGTTTCTCAATTTGTTACACAGTCATTTCCTCTTCTCTGTCCCCTGGAGAGAGGTAAAGCACTTGTGTCTCCTCAGTGTCCTGACTTCAGACTTTGGCTTCTGTCTGCATTAGCAATTAAATTCAGAGCAGTAGTGCAGTTTAGAAGGGAATGCCCTGATTATTTCCATTTTGTTCATGTTGGGTCAGTTCTTTAAAACACTTGTTTCCCTGTATAAACTGGACTCCCTTCAAAGGAAGGAAAACCAGAAGCTCTTCTCCAAATGCATTTTGAAGCCTGGTGAGATCACCAGGTTCTGAAACTGCCCACAGAAGCTCCAGAGAGGGGACAGGAGTAGTTCCTTCTCACTGGAGATGCTTCATCAGGAAAGAAGGAAGTTGACCCAGCACTCTGCCCACTCCACAGTGCCAGGAATTAACTGGAAGGACAAGGTGTGATGATGGACTCGCAGCAGTTTGAGCACTGCCAGCCCCTCTCATTTTCTCCCAGCACACTGAGAGGTTGTGTTTGCATTCACTGCAGCAGAGCTGGAGCTGCCAAAGGTCTACTGGGATAATGTCAGACTTGGGGAAGTTCACATATGCTTTTTGGTTTGTAATATTGCAGCATGATAGTCCATCTTCTGGAGAAGAGGTGGCGTTTATCAGGCTTAGAATGTCTCATTAAATTATGAGCCCTGTTGAACATGTAACTAGGAAAATTTGTTTGCCAGTCATCCACATTGTCTTGCCTCCTTTCCTACTGTGTGTGGGCTTTTGATCCTCATTAGCCAAACACATTTTTCTGTTTGCTTTTTTTATAGACAGGTCTTTAAAAATAGCAATGAGTCTTTTTTCCATTACATGATCTCTGTAGCCAAGAGTTTTAATGATTGCAGGTTTAAAAAGTGCCAGAGAGTTTTGAATTTGCATTAGTCAGGAAGCAGATGATTGTCAGTTCCCAGTCAGTTCAAACAGTCACAAACCCTGAAAGAGGAAGAAAAAATAAACATAACTAAAAATGTAGGTGTGGGCTATCAATTAATGAATGAGTCAGTGTTGCCATTCTCTCCAGCGTCAGGGACCAAATCCCAAAGTTTTTACCATTTTTGTAGTGAAAATGTCAGCTTTTGACCATGTTTTAAACCAAGGTCCTAAAGTTAGGGTTTAAAGTCATTTTTCTGATGTTAAGTTGGTCCTCAGAGACCCCAGCACCAGCAGTTCATTCCAGAGTTCTGTCATATTTATAATGGTCTGCCCTACTCTACAGGGAAAAACAGAAACAATAACAAGGTCAATTCTTAGTACACGAGCTTGGTGGAAAGAATATTTTAAATAAAATTGAATGCAGGTCCTGAATGTTACTGTAATTCACCTGTGCTGAGAAAAAATCCTGAAACAAAGAAAATTTTTACAACAGTAGTCATATGTGGTTCTAAACATCTTTTAAATCAGTATTAAAAATACGCTGTAGTACTCAAGGTAATGTTCAGTTGCTTTTCATTCAGAATGTCACTCACAGGTTGCCTGCAAAACAAACAGATTTAGCAGAAGAACAGAACCAGACTCTTGCTCCTCCCCTTTGCCAGCCGTGGTGTCTGACAGGGGGAATCTGAGCAGCCACTGATAACAGGAAATTCTGGACGACTCCTAAATGACTTAGGCAAAAGAGCTGAAGTTTCTCATGTAAATACATTTCCTTTCGGTTGAACCTTGCAAATTTGGCTGTTCTGCCATGTGCTGACTAATGCTGGCTGTGCTACTGTCAATTTTGGATTAAGTTCTTTGCTTTTGTCCAAAAATGAGAATTTTTTTTCCTCTCCCCCCTCCTTGCTCTTGGATTTTGATATCAGTTGCATCAGTTCCAGGAGGTTGCTTGCAATATTACCAACAGTGGATAGTTGATTTAATTCTTAGTTTGTGGTGAGGTTACAGTCAAGGGCTTAATTTAATTTTACTTAATTTACTGTAGAAATAAATAAGCAAGATATATCTGATATGCTGGCTCCATAGTACTTCAGAATGTTAATGCTTTTTGAGCAGAACAATGCAGCTAAGCCAGGAGTCCTTGTCTGCTGTGCCCTCAGATACATGGTTCTTAATTTTTTGTCTTTGATAACAGAAACAGACTTAGCTTGAAGCCGGGATGAGCAGATGAGCGCTGTATGGATATATGGAGTGGTGGTGTGATGT